AGATCGAGCCTGACATAGATCCAACCCGAAGTCCACCCCGTCTATCCATGAATTAGTGTACTTTATAGTAACAAACTATGCAGTAGCAAACTGGTTGGCTGATAGCTAGGGGATTTTGATCTAAATTCAATCTAAATAAATAGATTTGATATACAATTTATATGATCTGAGTATGATTACAATTCAAATCCGTTAATTTGTTTATTAAATAAATCAAATATGGATCTATTTCAATTTAGTCCGATAATAATCCGATTCAAAATTAATATTAATATTTTTTAATAAATATAATATTTTAAAAACATACATTATTTAAATATAAAAAATAAGAAAAAAATATGGGATTAGATTTAAATTTAAATTTTATTTACTCTAAATGATAAAAGAAATGTTTTCTAAATTTGTTTGCGTTTTTTTTTTTCATATTGACAATTATTCTTTCAAATAGTTACATGTATTAACCTTCTTTAAATCCTAAAAAAACTTAAAAAATATTTGATCTATTTGTATGTCCTTGAATTGCTATATATTTTAAAAAATTCATTTACCATAAGTTACTTAGATTATTACATAGCTAGGTAACGTTTTTTTTTTTTTATCTATTTCAATTTGGACCTAACTAACCAATCAATACAAAGATACTTATATGTATTATCATATCAAATCTCAAGTCAATTAAATATCATAAATTGAAAAAAAAATCATATATAATTATATTAGATAAAAAATTAATTTTGAAGAGCTAAATGTATCGGTGAGCAATTTATAGGTATCGAATTTATTTAAAAATCAACATACATGCATTTTCATGAACATTTATAATTTTTTAAACAATTCAAATTCAAATCTTTCTCTAGCAGAAACAAGAGTATTTTTCTTGTCATCCTTGAATGGAGTGGTTAATGTCGTGAGGACATCCAAGGACTAAGAAAAAGAAAGAGGGTAAACGATTAAAAGAAGACACCATGTTGATAATAGAAATTGTGATATAGGATGTTTCAATTTTCCTTCTTTGTTTCTTTCAGAACAATCATCAAACAATGTCAGTCTAAGCTTGTATTTACACATATCATTATTGCTGAGCAAATTAACTAATCTTCTTTATCTTTACCCTTTTTTGTTATTATTAAGACACTGGTTTTACTATGATGAAATTCCGAATGCATCTCCATCGTTGTTTTTCACAAATACTTTTAAAACTCAACTTCTAAAAGTTCTAATCTAAAATTAGCTACATATCCACCAATTTCAAACCTTTTTTAACTCGCATGTCAATTTTTTAATCCAAGTAGACCATATTTATTATATGTTATAGAAATTCCAATACTTCATCTCTTTCCTCCTTTTTTTCCTTTTTAAAATGAAGGATCCAACCTAATATTAATACGGCTAGCATTGCACCTATCAATTACATAAAATGTGAGGACTAGTTAAGCTGCATATATTTGTCCATCGACTTAAAAGTTGTATGTCCTACATCTCTAGCTTGCATTGAAAACTTTTACAATTCTATATCAATTTCAGTTGCTCGGTAGTAGATGTCACCCGATACTTTAAACTAAGCTAGCCATCGGAATTCCTACCAATGAAATTTTCGAGTTGATTATTCAAACTTTCATATATTTGAAAGTCTTGTGTATATGATGTACAATGCTCAAGAAATCACAAAGCTAGTACCGAAATCTAAAAAATGCTTATTCTTAGGGCATGTCGACAGAGTGAAGGGGTATAGCTCGTGAGATCCCATAAGGTCATTGTTAGTAGGGAGGTTATCTTTATCGAAAAGGATCTACAAAGGAAAGAACAAGGTGATAGCACTTCGGCGACTACAATGGTACAAGTAGAAAGGAAAGCTGAACAAAACGATTCTTCCGAAGCGACACCACAAGCACGAGGTACAAAAACTAGTCGAATCTGCAGTTTCGAAGTTCATCGATCAAATCGCACAAAAAGGTGGCCAGATTAATATTCTAACTATCTTATGAAGAGTAATGTTGCATACTGTCTTTTAACTAAGGAAGGGGAATCATCAACACTCCAATAGGCGCCGAGTTACTCATATACAAATCAATGGATGGCGACGATACAGGAAGAAATGGAAGCTCTTTATAAGAATAAGATGTGGGAACTTATGCCACTACCGCAAAGAAGAAAAACCATTGGCAACAAATAGGTCTATAAGATCAAGCGAAATAACGATGATTAAATGCAGCGATATCGTGCAAGATTAGTGATGAAATGATATGCTTAGAAAAAACAGAATTGACTTTGATGAAATATTCTCACCTATGGTTCGACTTACAATAGTTCAAGTAGTCCAAATAACTTATGCTATGTTTGACTTACATCTAGAGTAGCTAGATGTGAAAACGACTTTTCTTCATGAAGATCTTGAAGAAGAGATTTATATACTCCAACTAGAAGGTTTTAAAGAAAAAGAAAAGGAGAACTTGGTTTGCAATTTGATCAAATCTTTGTACGATCTAAAACGAGGCATCGAGGTGTTAGTATAAGAGATTTGATTCATTCATCACGAGCCTTGGACACAACGGACTCAATGCGGACCCTTATACATATTTCAAGAGGTTTGATGAAATGATTTTTTATTTTGTTGTTGCATGTTAATGACATGTTGGTAACGAGCCCCAATAAATATTGTATTATAAAAGTAAAGGCACAATTGGCTAGGGAATTTGAAATGAAAGATTTAGGAGCAACAAACAAGATTCTAAGGATACAAATTCATCGAGACGAAATAATAGAAAAATTTGACTTTCACAAAAGAATTATTTGAAAAAGATCCTGCGTTGTTTTAACATGCAATATTATAAGCTAATTTATATCCACTTTCTATTAATTTCAAGTTATCCTCCGAGTATGAGTCCTAGCAATGAAGAAGAGAGGATGGATATGTCTTGAGTACCGTATGCATCGAGTAGTGAGAAGTTTAATGTTTGTTATAATTTGTACAAGAATAGATATTGCCCATGCAATTGGAGTGGTTAGTCGGTACATAGCGATTCCTGGTAGAGAGCATTGGAATGTAATAAAGAGGATCCTAAGATACATTTAGAGGACCTCGGATGTTGGATTATGTTATGGTGGATTAGAATTTACTATCAACGATTATTTTGATTCGATTATACAAGTGATCTAGATAAAAGCAAATCAACCACGAGTCATGTTTTTATACTTATTGGTAGAGTCTGTAAGTTGAGTTTCAAAACTACAATCATTTGTGGCTACGTCAACAACGAAGCAAAATATGTAGTAGACTACACAAGCTAGTAAAAAAGCGATCCAGTTGAAAATGATATTTGAGGAACTTAGGCACAAATAAGGAAAGATTTTTCTATTTTGTGACGATCATAATACCTTGCATCTTGTAGGGAATCTAGCCTTTCATTCAAAGACAAAAACGCACATGAGTTCGGTATCACTTTGTTCATGAGGAAATAAAATAGGGAATTGTGGATATATAAAAAATTCATACGAAAGACAACCTAGCAGATTTTCCGACAAAGACAATCACTGCTAACAAATTTATTTGGCGTCAATCCTCTTGCGGCTTGATGAAGACATAAGCAATATAGGAATGACAAGATAAAAAGAATAGTGTAAAGATCCGATTGACTCTCAATAAAATCTTCAAGTGGGAGATTGTTAAAATTACAATAGCGAGAGCAAGTTGTCCATGGTTCTATGGACAACTTAGATGTGACCGACATTGAAGCGATGCAATGCAAAAGAGAGGTCTATAAATTGGCCTCCCCACCTTATTTCAAGTATCCCCATCTATACACATAAACAAGAGAGAGAGAGAGTCCATTAGTTCAATCCCCAAATCATTTATTAAAGAGAGATTAGTTTCTAGAGAATATAGAGAGTGTTTATCCTATTTCAAGAAAGAAAGTCATTGTTTTCTTCATTGTAGTATAGAAAGAGGTTGTAACTTCTATTATTTCTCATAGTAAACTCTTTCTATCATGTCCATGGTTTTTTTCCTTTGATTTGTTTAAGGTTTTTTCATGTAAAATCTGTGTATTCAATATCATTATTTTGTTAAATTTATTAGTTACGAATACTACTCTATTCGATCAATAATACAACATTTCGTATATATATTTATTCAAACCACATCAATTGAATAAATGTATTATATATGAACTTACTTAAATGTTTACGCAGCCTTCGATTTATGCCAAGATTTTGATCGTGGGAATACTTTCATGTCTCAAGCCTGAAAGGAGAAATATGCGACCCGTCGTTGGGTACCAAATCTACTTTTTAGAACGAAGTCATGCCTCCATCACATCACAACTTCGTGGACCAATAGATTCATAATCTTTCTCTTGTCCGTCATTCCTTTTTTTTTATTGAACGTCCTTGTTCGTTAATTTTGTTAGCGTTACTTTTCCTTTCGTTAATGCGTGTTGGTGACGGTTGTTATTTTTTTAATAATAAACTTGTGGTACCATTGAAATGGAAGTACGAGCAACCACATCATTGGATACTCCAATTAACTTCAAAAGAAAAACAAAGACCAAATGGTCAGAAGAAAAACAAAAGCTAAATTTGATAGAATATACCAATTTTTGTACAGAAATTTATTTCAAATTTTTAAAAGACTATCTATATAACGTCGACTCTTCTGTAAATTTTTTTCTTATAATATATTTTTTTAAAATTCTAGTCTGAAATAATTAATATCAGAGTAAACTCACTTGCCACCTAGGCAGTATCGAAAAATAATTGATTAAACCTTTACGATAACCGACAGAAAGGCACAAGACCAACACGTGTCCCATCAGCAATATCATGGTATTTCTTTTACGTGTCAATCATCTGAGACATTTTGCAACGTGTCAAACATATTTATCATCCTCCCAATTTCATTTCTCGATGTTACAAGCTGCCTTTCAAACCTCATTGACTTTAGTTTCACCCACAGACATTAGACACTGTGGTCCAATTCAACAACCGTAACTAGCTTAACCGCCATGGCAAGGTCTCTTGAGCCGCTGGTTGTCGGCAAAGTGATCGGAGATGTACTTGATCCGTTCAATCCTTCGGCTGAATTTACTGTGAGTTATGGGAGCAAACGAGTTGCTAATGGCTGTGACATCAAGCCCTCTAGTGCTGCCCAAAAACCCCATGTCCAACTTCTTGGTTCTGCTCTCTCCTCTGATCTATATACTCTGGTATGCAAAAAAATTCATTGCTTATGTTTTTTTATACAAATTCTGGTATTCAATCTGAGCCCATGTTGTACATAACAAGGCAAAAGTGAAAAAGTCTTGTTCTTTTGTCAGGAAATTAAGTTACATGTGGTTTTATCAATTATATAGGTTATGGTCGATCCGGATGCTCCAAGTCCTAGTGAACCAAGATTTAGAGAGTGGCTCCATTGGTAAGCTCCATTTTACATTTTGCATTGAAATTAATTACAGAGGCTATGAGATTGCTAAGATTGCTACTAGAATATTGAAATGGCAGATGCATGAAATAATAAAATGTGCCTTTTTGTTGCAGGATCGTTGTAGATATTCCTGAAGGATTTGATGTCACCAAAGGTTAGCTATTATCACTCAAGTATTTTAGAGTTTTGAGGAAAATTGTGTGATGTGACTATAATTTTGATAACTTTTTATGTTGTAAATTAGATTTTTCTCACATTTGAACTCTGTATTTTTTTTTTATTAAGGTATTCAATTTTTTTTTTTTTGAGATTTTTTATTATTCGAGATTTCTTGCTTCAAACTTCTTATTTAATGTTATTAATTAATAATTGATACGTTATTTTTATTTTTCGAGACTTCTTACTCGATGATGTTATGTCGATTATCGATCGGTGATATTATAATATAAGGTTTGAAGTAAGAAATCTTAAGGAATAAAAAATCTCAATAAAACAAAATAAATAAATAAATAAGAGTTTTAATAAAAAGAATTAAAAAAATACAAAGTTCAAATGTAGAAAAGATCCATCGTAAATTATAAATTGTAATGCATAGGATGTTTAATATGAATTAAGGAATAAGATTGAATATTCGATTTAGTGAAAAATTCGAAAACTGAGCAATCCTTATAGACAACTCCCATATCTTGTTCTTAAAAAGAAAATTCACACGTCATTTTCCTTGAATGTAAATGCAAAATGTGGACATTTTAAATAATTTGGTAACAATTCCATGTGATATGTTGTTGGAGCTGTAGGCAAAGAATTGGTGCAATACATGGGACCTCAGCCTCTTATTGGTATTCACCGATATGCATTTGCTCTCTTCAAGCAAAAAGGAGCATTGATGGGAAGTAGCAGAGCGGCAGATGCCCGTGCCAATTTCAACACACGCCAATTTGCTGCTCAAAACGAACTTGGGCTTCCAGTTGCTGCTGTGTATTTTAATTCACAGAAGGAATCTGCCGTTCGAAAAAACTAATATGGGCATCCAGTTGCTTCTTTGACATCTTTTGACAGTGTTGTTTATTTTAAATGCTTGGCAAAAATGGGTAGATCATTCTAGCTTTTGGGTTGATGATTTTTTGCTGTATTAATTTGTGGTGTGCTTAATTATTATTTTCTGGTGCAATTTTTCTGGTGGTGAAAAGAGGTGAGATGGTGGCAATTTTTATTTTAGCTTTTGAGGCTTTTGGGTTTTGTATGGTATGCTGCTCCCAAAACTTGGTGATCGATTTGCCTAGTTCAATCCATGACAAGAATTTAGAATGGCTGAATGGGATGTGGTGTATATAGTTCATAAGCTTAAGGAAATTCTAGTTAGATACTTATGTTATGTTGTAGTAAGCAACCGTTATATGTGTAGTATTAATAATTCATATGATGTAGTGTATATAAAAGTCTTGTTTTTGATGGTTATGTAAACTGAATATATTTATTGAGCTAAATTACTTAATTATATTCTTATTAATAAAATAATCAATATTATTAGCATAAAAAGTTGTATTTCAATAATTGTGAGGTTTTTTAAAAATATTATTTCAATTATTTTATTTGAAAAATATTGATTTTAGAACATGAAAAAGAACAAATGAAAAATAATTGATGTTATGCGTATAGATATATAGTTAATTTTTAACAAAAATAATGATACACATACACTCGCACACATCTATACATATATTATAATCATTTTTAGCGATTTAGAGTATATAGCATAAATTAATAAAAACATATAAAAAAAATAATGAATTCAATAAAATAAAAACTACTATAAAATTGATTTCGATAAATTTTGATCATATATATATATATATATATATATATATATATATATATAAACCGTGAATGATATTTTTTAATTGATTATTTAATAATTTTTTAAAAATAAATTTAAGTTACATTATTTAAAACACATTTTTAGTTTGTATACACACACACAAGTGCTACTACGATACTCATTTGAAAATCCGTTGTATAAATTATTATAATATATTAAAAAAATCATATTTTAAAATTCATATATTAAAAAAACCATATATCGTTGCTACAACATTCTCATTTAAAAAATCATAAAAATCTATTGTATAAATTATAGTAATATATTAAAAAAATAATGTTTTAAAATTTTATTTCAAAATTTATATATTAAAAAAATAATATTTATTAAAAAATAAAATTTCATAAAAAATAAAAAAATTAATTTTATTATATTATTGTAACGATAAAGTTAATAAATAATTTTTAAACAATAAGAGTAATATAATTTAATATATATGTTCAACATAAAATCTTAAAAACATATCATATATTTTTTATCATCATTAAATTTTATATAAAAATAAAAAATAACGATATATTTTTTCATAATTTTCACACTTAATTCTAGTATAAAAAAATAAAAAATAAAAATACATTATTGGAAGAAGAAAAAAAACAGCCCAAGGCCTCGTGCTTGGGTTTGTTGTGTAGGCCAGCACTAGGCCATGTCAGCCCCAATGGACCTAATTTGTCAGGCCTGTACATGAGGCCAGGCCTGTGTGCTTGAGCTTGCTTTTGCAAGTTGGGCGCGCCCCGCTTGGGCCTGATTCTCCAGCCCTTGAGTCCTGACCAATCTAAAAATAAAAAATAGATTGAAATAAAAAGTTTAGAAACATAAGGGATCAAAGCGTAAAAGATTATATAATTTGCATATAACTATCCCAAAAAGATGTAGAAATCACAAAATAAAAGGAACTTTAATAAGCAGTGATAATGGGTCTGTAGCCACTGAAAACTTCAGTTCTTTTGGTTTATTTTTTAGTAGATATTAGATTATACATGGAAATGGGTTTCAAGGTGCCCTAATTTGACACTCCAAGGTTCGAGCCCATGTGAGAAATGCATGGACTTTGATAATGTACTGATTCTAAGTTTTGTTATAATTGGTTTCTTAATTTTATATCAACTATTATTTTTAGCACATTTGTTATATATATATATATATATATATATATATATATATATATATATAAAGGTGATATAAAATATGTTAAAACTAATTCTAAGAAAGTAAAAAAAAAAAAAAATCAAGAGTTTAAAATCCAGTCAAATGATATGTAGGAACAAAATATAATAGATCCACATATATTTTAATGTACACTAAATATAATTGCCGAGGAAAAATTATTAAAACTGTTTCAACAATTATTAGCTAGACAATGCAAATATTCAAATTCCATATATATATATATATATATATATATATATCTCGTGAGAACTTCTAAAAATTAAAAATTTCATATAATTTTCTAAGCATACTTGAAAAATAAAACAATATTCTTTATGTCGTTACCTAACATCGGACGGAACTCTTAAAATTAAAATATGCTAAATGTGATTGATATTTACAAGTTTATTTACGGAGCTTTGGAGTCGCCACCTAGCATTAAGGAACTAGGAACCTAAAATAACATTGGTCTAGAGATTCTATGGTAAGCGATTGGTTACACTTTTAGGAAGATGATTATTCACCCTAAAAGTGCCCTTTCCAAAGAAAGGTACCACATCTTGTTTTAATCCTAAATTTATCTCCTATATTGTTTATCTATGTCAATTTATTTTCTAAATCTTAAACGAAAAGTATTATCTTAACAAAATGTATTTTTAGTGTTGAGCGTGGCATCGTATTGAACCAATCGTCGGTCCCCTTTATTGGGTGACACGTCGATTCAAACATCGGATCCACTAGAAGCTTTGACACAACCGATGTGTCGGAGGATGTCTTGATTAAAAGGTGATTTTTTTTGTGACGTCGACCCCTATCAAATAGGAGGCTTCGCCAAAAATTTTTTTGCATTTTTTTTGTGACGTCGGTCCCTATCGGGTAGGAGACTTCGTCAAATATATATATATATAATTTTCTAGTAATACATATTAAAGAAAAAAATTGAAATAAAAATTCTAAATTAATAAAGAAAACTACAAGAAAATAAAATAAACGGGAAAATAATAATAATAATAATTTAAATGAACAAAATAAAATAAATAAAGCATCCTATATAAGTAGGTAAAACAAAAATAATAAATGACAAGAAAAAAAAATCCTATACCATTTTTTTTCCTTACCCATCCCCATTTTTCTCTTCTTTTTTTTTCGTCTTATTATTTTTTTCTAACTCTACTTTTTTATTTTATTATTTTTTTATATTTTTTTGGGCATAAAGTACTTGGGTCAGGTCTGGATCGAGAATGGCCCGGCCCTCTCTTTTTTGTTGCGAGGACGCGCGGGCTGGGCTGGAGTGAGATCGAGTCCGGCCCAGTTCTTATTGTTTTTATTAATTGGGCTCGGACCAAAAACAAGCCCAAACTCGAAAACAATCAAAGAAACGGATCTAATAGCCCTCGGATGCTTTCTCTCTCATGTTCATACTTGCCTCTCTCTCCTGTTCTTCGTGTTTCTCTCTCTATTTTTTTATTTTCCCGGAATCCCGACTTCATTTTATTCATGCAATTTAGACAAACATCTCATTTTCGATTATGAACCAGCCATATAAATTCAAAACGGTAGCTAACAATGTTTAAGTGATCAACAATCAATTTCGGATTGAAAAGAAAGAAAACGAGAAAGAAAGAAAAAAAAAAAAAAACTACCGACTCGATGAATTTGATGATGGTTGTTCGGGGATGATTTCGATTGAATTAAAGGTCGTTAGGCTTTTCAAGACAAGCTGAATCGCGCTTAGGAACTACGAATTTAATGTCGAAAGTTGCTTGGATGTGGGAATGCAATTGGGCGGTCTTGATGAACACGAAGAACACAAACCCAGAATCTCGAGCATCTTCAAAGGTCGTCCAGAAATTCAAAGGAGAAAATTCCCCAATGGACGAATTGATCCCCAAATTTCAAGGATTTAAATTGAGAAACACGTAAGGATTGAGAATTAGTCTAAAAAGAAAACAAAACAACGATTTAAAAGGCCGGTTATTGAAGAATCCATGACCCGAACTTCAACTCTTAAACCCATAAAAATATGAAGCAATTATTGGATCTAAAAGCTTTCGATCATTTCTCTCCCACCGAATTCTCTCCCCTTTGTTTTTTACTCTTTCTCCCCTCCTCTCCTCCTAATTCTTATCTCTTTTATAGGCATTCCCATTTGAATTTCACTCCAACTCAAACACTTTCAAAATTCAGATTTTTACGTAACCTATTTAAACTCAAAATCCTGTTATTGATTTCGAATTTGATTAACTAAATAATCGGGGTAGATTGAATTCGAATAAATCAAAAAACGAGTTAGAGGATTAGGATAAATTTTGATCGAATCGGAGATTGAGATTCGAGTTGAGGTGAACGACTTGTCATTCGCTTAGTTTCGATCCTGTCGTTCACTCTAAGCTTCTACTTTGGTCCCCGGAAATCTTAATTATTTGCAATCATGTCTATTTGCGTAATTTCAGTCATGTAAGGAATTTTATTTTCGATTTGGTCCCCACAAATAGCAATTCAAGTATTGAATTTTTTTAACCGATTCAATTATGCCCTTGAAGATTTTATATATTTTTTTTCTTTTTTTCTTTTCTTCTCTTTTTTTCCAAAAATAAAATAAAATAAAAATAAAGAAATAAACATTTCAAAATAAAAGCTATTATTATAATTTTTTTTAATTTTTTTGGGTTATGACACTTTATATCATGTTTTTATAAGAAAGTTTCATATCTTTTTTTTAAAAAAAAAAAAAACAGAGAGAGAGAAGTCAACGATAACATTGGAGTCGAGAGAGAGAGAGAGAGGTCAAGGATAAAATTAGCCTATAACTAAGGGTCCCTTGTGAAACAATATCAATTAATAGTTTGATGATTTTTTATGTGATTTTATCATTTTTAATTATACTTCAAGTGTATAAAAAAAGAGGAATGAATAGAAAATTTATGAATATTTTGCTTAAAAAAATCTCTTTTAATATCGGTGACGATTATAGAAAGTAAAAATATAATTAATAAATCATAATCTAAATGGTCTCCTAATTTTTTATTTTGATTACTTAAATTTACTAGTATAGTTTAAAAAATCTTGAAAAACTCCAAGGAATTGACAAAAATAGATATTAGTCGTTTTTTTTTAATATTAATAGCGATTGTATATAAAATGATAACAAAATTTTTATGAATACTTATACTTTTTGTCTAAAAGAGTACAAGATAAAGAAAGACAAGAGCTAAAGATTCTATAGAAAAGAAACAAAGGATCTACTTTAATATTTTGATGTAATTTAATTATGTTTTAGATTCTAATCGTTGCCCTTAGTTGACTTAATTTTAAGCATTTTTATAGTTTTGATAGTTAAAATAAAGTTCCAATTAGAAACTATATTATTTAGGTTAATTTTGATGTAAAAAAAGCTTATTTTATATTATTTTAAGGTTTTATATGATGTATAGACGGACATTAAAAAAAGGATTAACCTACTTTGTTTTAAAAAAAATTTAATCTATTTCTTAATCTGATACAGGTTTAATGCATCTGCTAATAATTAACTTTTTTTAACAAAAAAAAAAAGAAGGAAAAGTTAATACAACTACTACTAATTAGCTTTATATGCAAAAAGAATAAAAATAGGTAGTGTGTTAAAATTCCCATTAATTTTAGTCATAAAGTTAATAACAATTTAAGGATATTTTAGCTAAATGAAATATTTTGACTCAAAATTCATGTTATATATACATACTTTCAGCACTCGTTGTCAAAAAAAAAAAAAAAAAAAAAAAGAAGAAGAAGAAGCTTATGTGCTACCTCAATTAGGATAGAAGGTTAATTGTCCGGCAAGAAAGCCAATATTTTTCTTGGTATCACAAAGATCACCTTTTGTCCTGGAATATTAATTGAATCCCAGGAGTGCAGTATTACATCATATAACCGACCTAATCTACTACTTGACTGGTGTAGCTGGACATAATTAAGCATTTTTTATTTTTATTTTTAAGAATATGAGTATTTTTGTTTAAATTTTTATATATTAAAATTAAGTCTATCTATGATGTTCCATTAAAGACGAATTATCTATTTCGGGATTAGAATATTTATAAGGATTTTATTTTTTATAATTGAAGGTTTGAAACCTATCGATTAAAGATAAACTCGTCTATAGCAAATGTCAAAACCAAAATTATAAGTTTTGGAAAAACAATTTTTTATTTTTTCAAACATATTTCAGAAACAACACATATGTGAAAGTGATTCACCGACTTTCAAAAAAACAACTTTCTTTTAAAATGAGTAAATTATAAATTAGTCCTTTTTATTTTGAAAAAAGAATTAATTATTCTCTCTGGTTTTAAAAACTAATTATTTAGTTCTTATAACTAGTGTTGATTATGACTAATTTAATATTTTTTATATTATAAAATATATATATTTTTATTAAAATTTTCATTTTTTCTTATTTTTTAATTCCTTTTCTATTTCTTAAAACAAATTAAAAATTAGCAAAAATAAATAAATAATTAGTTTTTGAAATCAGAGAGATTAATCAATTTATTTTTTGAAATGAAAGTAACTAGTTTTACTCCTTTTAAAATTGGTAACCCATTTTTTAATTTTTTTTTGTCGATAAAAAAATAAAAATTCGCAAATTTTGCAAAGACCTAATCGGCAGGTAACTTTTTATTAATTTTGGGGGCGGGGATCCACTGTATTGACTGCATAGGTAGAAAAGGAAATTAATTATTGACGTGGATCCAAAATCAACAAGCTAAAATAACGCATAGCGTGAATCCCACGGTGAGTCTCGTACCGTGGGCCCAAGAATACATTATCACAGGCCCAACTGTTCTCTGTCTCTGGCGTCTCCCTCTTTCTTGGGTCGTTGGCCACCCCAACCTTTAGGTCTCGACTCTCAATACCTCCTCGTCCTCCGCCTCCAAAAACACAAAAATCTCCCATAAACAGTGCGTTTCGCCGAGGTCGGCAAGTAAACAGAAATTGTAAAGCAGCTCGGAAAAAGCCCCCCTGGAGGAGGAGAATCCATGAGAAAATGCTTGCATCAACGACAACAATCAACAGAGCAGCCAGTTTTCACCGCTTGCGTACTTTAGCTTCATCAGCCAATCCTCTTCATTCTCGATCGCCATGTCGAGGTTCATTGAACCCCGGTCCCCTCTCTGAGCTAATTTGTTTTTAGGTTTTGATTAATTCTGCATTTAAATTCTCTAATTGAGTTTAATTTTCCATATCTAAGGTTAAAAAATTGTAGGAAATTTATGATATTTTGATTTCAATTATCTCGATAATGCAAATAAGTAGAATATTAGCTCAGAGAATTTATTTAGGTAGGTTTTAGAAGCAATAATACATTGTCAGCCAACTGTTCAGAGTTCCGTCGCTGTGTTTTTCCGTTTACGCCTCTGTCTGTCTCTCTCTTCTCTTCTTAGGCGATCATACCAGCCGAAAGAAAAGATTTAAATTTTCAAGGGATTCAAACAAATAGCTTGAGATATAGGCTTAGATTGTGAAGACTTCTAATTTTGGTTTTCGGAAGACAAGGAAGTAAGAATATTGAAGTTTCGGGCACACAATTGTCTGACGATGAAACCTTCCCTCTCTATTTTTTATCATTGAAAAGCCCCCTGTTGCTGTTTCTCTGTGTGGATTTTTAGAGAAGAGAGCATATCAGATTTACACATCCATCTGCAGTCAAAGGTCTCGATTTCAAATGCAATTGTGACGTTAAAGTTTAAGAATTAAGACCCAATCGTATTTCCCTTATGTTATCCCCTGTTCACACACCCCACCACACCCCCCCCCCCCCCCAAAAAAAAAAAAAAAAAAAAAAAGAAGGAAAGAATTGTCTTGTCTTTTGAATCTAATTCTCGTTCTTGTTAAACTTAGCTACAACTGTCTATATCTATATTGTCGGTGCTTGGCATATGGTATCTGTTTGTATGTCTCATAAATTCATACGGCTAAAATAGAACTGTTATACATAAGGTCTTGTATTGAGCTTATAACGTTGTTCTATGGTTAAGTATTTTGGAATTTATTTTTGAAATATTTGATGTTGATCATGTAATTTTGGAATTGTAGGTTTTTGACATTTGGAAATATTAAAAGAGTTACGCGGTCGATTTTCAGTAAACAGAAAAGTAGTAATCAATTATTGGAAGTAAAAAAGTATGGGAGTGTAGTTTCAGTTGGTTTGCATTTACCGCAATTTAGATATTACTCGCAGTATAGTTTTCCAAGTACAGGCTATTCGTCTTCTGCATTGTACAATGTCAAAGAGCAGTTTGGCCGGAGGTATTTTACGAGGAATTATTCATCTATGAGTGATGCAGTGACATTGAATGCGCAGCTTGCTTGGAAAAGGCTATTTAGGAAAGGTTCTGCTAGTGGCCGGAGTTTTCCTCGGATAAGTAGGATAGCTCAAGCGGTTAGCTTGGCTTTGACGTGGTCTCCTTTGGTGGTTCCGGGTGCTTTAGCATTGACATGTGGGAAGGTGGCATGGGCACAAAAAACGTTGGTGGATACGGATTATTATCCGACATCTTTGTATATGCGTGCACAAGATGGGCATGCTTACATGACGTCATTAGTATCTGCTGTTGTAGAAGCGTTTGTGTTGTTAGTGAGAGCTATCTATTTAGCAGTTTTGTTCTCGCCCAGCTTGATGATGGCTCCATTTGCCGAGTCTTGTGGACCAGAGTTTAGGAAAATGTGGCTTCATGTTGTTCACCGAACACTGGAGAAGGCAGGTCCAGCGTTTATAAAATGGGGTCAATGGGCAGCTACCCGGCCGGATCTATTCCCTAGAGATTTATGCACTAAGCTTTCAGAGCTACACTCTAAAGCTCCTGAACATAGTTTTGCCTACACGAAGAAAACTATTGAAAGAGCATTTGGTCGCAAACTTTCTGAAATTTTTGAGGGTTTTGAAGAGGTTCCTGTAGCATCTGGAAGTATTGCTCAAGTGCATCGGGCCTCTTTGAGATTTCGTTACCCTGGTAAAAAACAGACAAAGCCTACGGTAGTTGCTGTAAAGGTTAGACATCCTGGTGTTGGCGATTCAATTAGAAGAGACTTCATGATAATCAACTTGGTTGCAAAGATTTCAACATTTATTCCAACTTTGAATTGGTTGAGACTGGATGAGAGTGTGCAACAGTTTGCTGTTTACATGATGTCTCAAGTGGACCTTGCAAGGGAAGCTGCGCATTTAAGCCGCTTTATATATAACTTCCGAAGGTGGAAGGATGTTTCTTTTCCTAAGCCTGTGTATCCACTTGTGCATCCTGCTGTTTTGGTGGAATCGTATGAGCATGGAGAAAGTGTCTCGCACTATGTAGATGATCTCGAGGGACATAATCGAATTAAAACTGCACTTGCTCACATCGGGACTCATGCACTTCTGAAAATGCTTCTGGTAAATTTCACACTCTGTTCATGTGCCTTTGTCAATGTATTGCCTCCAAGTTCTCAATTATGAGTTGAGAATTGTTAAGCGTTTTGTCAGTTAGAAAATGGGGTGTTTCTTATTTCAGGTGGACAACTTTATACATGCAGACATGCATCCTGGAAATATCCTTGTCCGGGTTTCTCAGGAAAGTTCTCGGAAACGGCTCTTTAAATCAAAGCCTCATGTCATTTTCCTCGATGTAGGCATGACTGCTGAACTTTCTCAGAGTGATCGCATTAATTTGATTGATTTTTTTAAATCAGTAGCCATCCGAGATGGCCGCACTGCAGCAGAATGCGCACTAAGACTGTCGAAGCGACAAAACTGCCCAAATCCGAAGGCCTTTATTGAGGTATGCAAAGAGTTATCTTCTCTATCAGGATGTTTGAATTTTACATTAGTTAGGTTGTGAAGACAAATTGGAAGATGATATATTGGTTGTATCAAATGGTTTCCATTGTTATTGGGTTAGGTGGTAAAATGCTCGTGGGCTTCAATATTTATCTCTCTAAGCAAAGAGTTATTGTGCATAGAAGAGACTAATAGTCTATTAAGTTAATGGGCAGTTTGCAGTGTTTTTAAATTTTAATTTGTTTAGTGAAGTTAAGTTTTAGTGAGGATGCAATTTATTCCTCTGAGTTGTATTTTTTTTAGGGAAAAAAGGTCGACTAATAGTTTCATAACAGAGTCATGACCATTTTGATATCCTTCCCATCCTTCTTTTCATTTGGAGTTTGTGTATGAAAAATACCTTTTAATCCAGATCTTGACTTACAATACAAAACTTCTTTTTCCAACAGGAAGTGGAAGAGGCATTCACTTTCTGGGGTACTCCTGAGGGTGATCTAATCCATCCTTCAGAGTGCATGCAACAATTACTTGAGAAAGCCAGGCGTCACAGAGTTAATATTGATGGCAACGTTTGCACTGTCATGGTCACAACTTTGGTTCTTGAGGTAATCTAGTTTTTTGCTATTGTCATAATGTTTCATTACAAAGACATTAGCCAAGTTTCTTTGATGTTTTTAGCAGCAGGGTAGGGACAAGAACTGTTAGGCAAAGCATGAAGTGCTTTTTTATGAAAAGAGACTTAGGATGTGGAGTATAATGGCATGCTGCATCTACATGTTAATTATTTGGGAATTGAATTTATCTAATAGGACTTCTGTTAAAAAAAAAATGATCTGAGACTTATGGAGAAAATTGTTTGCTTGGTTGAGATGAGGTTCAGATTTGTGAAACTTGGGAATTGTGGAATACAATGTTTGAAATTGGGTTCAGAAATGAATCAGTGATCACAGCTATAAACTCCCCTTTTGTTTTTTGGTTATGCTGTATAGATTTGAATTGGGTTCAGATTTGAAACTTGAAATTATGAAATACAAGAGATCCTAATGCAAAAAGCTCAATGTTTTCTTCTTCACTCTTCTAATTTTGGATTTCCTGCTTTCCATTTTAGTTTTTGTTTATTGACTTCTGCAAAATGAAATTAACTTTGGTGTTGGCCAAAAGATCTCCAGAAGTAGCCCTATAGTGGTTATGGAATATCTTGCTTACTGGCTATATAAGGGGACCTATGCCATGTATTAGTGGTTGTTATCATTAACAGGGGATGTAATTCAATATCTTTGCTTTTGGTGGTTTTCCGAATCATTTAGGGCTGGCAACGGAAGCTAGATCCAGGATACAATGTGATGCAGACATTACAAACACTGCTTCTTCGAGCTGACTGGGCTAAGTCTCTTTCCTATACAATTGATGGGTTGATGGCCCCATAAGAAGGTTTTTTTTTTTTTTTTTTGTTCTTTTCTTTTTCTGTTGCTGTCTCTGAAAAACAATTTTGACAGTCCTACGACTAGGAAATTATACCTGTTTTTAAGAAATAACAAGAGTCAGTTTTTTGTTCCCCCTGAAATCTCCAGAATTTCCAATTTTTTGATAAAATTTTGTCCTTCTGTATTTATTTTGCTGAATTTAACATATCATTTCTCTAGACTCGCAAAATGGTGATGAGGATGGGGCAAGAAAGAAATGTAATAAAAGTCTTGACATTCTATCCTATTCTTTCCTTTGGTTTTCTGTTTTTTATTTTATTTTTTTTGTACGTTTAGCTTCTTCTTTTTTTTTTTTTTCCCTCCGTTCCCTCACTAGGAACCAAAACAAGAAAGAAGTAAAATCATCGGGTATCTCTTGTGATTGATTATTCATTATTCTTGTTCATTTCTTTCATTTCTTTCGTTTGTGTAATGGCTGTACTACTTGACATGGTTTTTGAACTTTGTATCCAGTATGGCATTTTGGTGGTGAATGTTGACATGACAGGAGACAAGTTATATATAGCAATAAGTGGTTATTTGCTTATTTATAATTTTTCCAGATGACTAAGCATAAACAACAGCAAGTACTTCTGTACAAGGTGTGCAATATGTAAGGTATAAATAAGCAGCAGTAATAGATAGTGGATTTTTTTATATATGCAATTTTTTTTCCTTTTTTCTTTCTGGAAAAATAAGCTGCATATTCACTTGTCGGAGGGAAGCTTGAAGAGCTCAGTTTAATCGGATGTTAGCTGTCTTTTCTGTTTTTGAATTAACATACCGTCTCTTGATCCTCTTCTTTGGCAAAGGGCTACTTAAGAAATTTTACTGGTAGAACTTGTGAAATTTTACTGGTTGATAGCCATAGTATATGTCATGGCAGCCTGGGCATTCTTTAACCATAGCACAAATTGAAGTATAAAATACCAAATCATTTTATCGGGTTTATTAATAATGTTTACCCTCCCATTTCCTTCTAACCTTGAAGCGTCATAGTTTATACTAGAGTATGTCACATGCGATGCTGCGGGATGTATTCATTTATATAAAATATATAATTTAAAAAGATTATGTGAAAAAATTCAGAGTAGAAGGATCAAAACATATATATGCAAAGTTGAGTAATATAATATAGTTAATTAGATATTGTTTGATACAAACATATATTTTATTAAAAAAAATATATAATAATTGATGATTAAAATAATGATGTGATGATTTTTTAAATTTTGGATGATCAATTTTCATCGTATGTTCTTCATTTATAGTTTGTTAATGAGATGGAAAGAAAAATGATCAAAACAAAAAGATAATTTATTTTTTTGTCAAAATCGAGATGAAATTGAAATATTTCAAAACCTATTTGGCAAAAAATGTGTATAAAAATTATTTACAACAATACTTAAATGATTAAAACAAAGTATAAATCATAAAATAAGGATAAAAAGAAAAACTTTTACTAAAAACAAAAAAAAAACATAAAAATTATGAATGATAAGATTTAAAAAACTTATTATGCATAAGGCATAAACAAAAATCAAACATGATAAACTTTTAATGACAAAAAAAAAAAAAGAAGCATATCGCAAAATAGGAAAAAAAAATTTGCTAAAAGCCAAAGAAAGCTTATGATGGAGACATTGTATTTAATTTTAGTGTAAAAAGAATAAAAATCAAACATAATAAAATTTTAATGATTAAAACAAAAGAAAAATCACAAAATAAGAAGCAAAACAAAACAAAAAGTTTCACTAAAGTAAAAAAGACAAAAATCAAATATCATAAAACTTCAATGACTAAAATAAAAAAAAATATAAAATAGGGATTAAAATAAAAAAATTCCACTAAAAAACCAAAATAGGGGGGCTTAGCTACTGTAAAAAGGTCGTATTGTTTTAGTGACTAAAAAAAAAAAAACCTCCACTAAAAGCCAAAATAGGGGCTTAGAAGGTTATATTGCTTTATATATTTATTAATTGATTTTTTTTTACTCGAGGATGCTAGTGAATCCGAAACAAGTCATTGATAAAATTCTAGTCCATTCAGTTGGCCACCTCTAACTGTAACGATGACAAAATAGTTTCTTTCCAGACAGCACTCCAGTTCTTAAATCCCGCAATGTGGGCTCTTATTCCTGTATACTTTTGGAGAATCTGAGAATCCAAATAGGTGCTTTTTAACAGTAACCTTGGTCCGAGTTAGCCCCTGGAGCCAGTTTTTATTGAGAGAGTTAGATCCATGGTTGACCCAAGAGTTTTTATTGGTGAAGTCGATGCATGTAGGGTTTATCGTCCTTGAGTTAAAAGAGATGGTCCATCAAGGCACACAAGATCGAACTGCCTAGCGAGCTACTTCAAAAGAAAAGATGAGAGGTCTTCTCTTTTCCCTCCCTTTTCCAATCAATTTCTCTGCTTGATTTCGTGCCATAATAGCTAATCTCGTTAGTAGTGTCTCAGTTAGATAGATTGTTTGAATAAGGTTCATCAGAGTTTCAAGCCACCTCAATGAGCTCATTGTATCCTTGAGGATTTCGTGTGTTTCACTGGTTTCCCTGCCATAAAGGGCTTCTTGTTTAGCTTCGAAACTGGACCATTTATAGGGATGTTTTATGTTGATGAAACATGCTACTATGGTCTCTCCTTTTATTGCAGAAATTTGTTATTGAATCACAAGGAAAACAGGACTTTCAAAATTTAGTGAGATAATTGGTTAAACCTTTTCGTTTTAAAAACCTAAGTCTCTATTTTCATATTTGATTGTACCTTAGTCCTCCTATTGATTACTGATTTTTTGTGACAATTAAATTATTGCTTCATCTAAAATATCTTTCATTTGAAATCAAATTTACCAATCTCAACAAATTAAAAATGCATTTAAAAAGGGTACTTTAGAAATTAAAAACAAAATAAAATAAAAAATAGTCAGCTTTGATCAAGAGAGTAATTTATAGTTTTAAAAACTAGGAGGCCTAACTTACAAAATCATAAAAAAAGGGACTAGGTTATAATTTACTCAACTAAAATATCATTACTCACTCCGTTGCTCCGACCAAATGGCAATTTTTGCAAGAACATCGAGAGCTTTTTCCATGCTGACGGAAGGTACTTATTCAACCATGGCGGTACACAATTTGTCAAGCACCAGATGACTGCAGAAACTATCTCAAGCTTGTATTGAAAAAAAAGAAAAGAAAAAAGAAAAAGAAAAAACCCCCAAAGGATCAATCATTATTAAAAACAAATGGATTAATCATTATATACAGCCGAAGGGATTGATCATATATACAAGCTGTTGCAGTAAGGAGTACAAAAAGCTCATCTCAATGAAAACATGTACAAGCGCTGCAGTAATGAGGAAATAAATGCAAATCTTTTATCTGGAAAAATTGGTGTTTTTCACCATGAATGAGAGATCTACGAAAATTAGCTTTTTAATCACCAAGGAGAGGGGAATCTATCAAAATTTATGCATGCAAAAGAAAAACATGCTGTTGGAGAGACCAATACCCCAGGCACAATTCATTTCTTAATAACAGCAGAAGCTGAAAGGCCACCACGTCAGATCCTTCCCTGCTATAAATCATACATCCATTTTCAGTCCGTGCAGTTAGTCATTGAGGTCCATGCTGGCCCTGAATCATGTATGTAGCATTTATAAATTGCCTGGACTGTAAAATCTTGCAACATATGCTAAATCAAGTTCTCAATATCCATTTGAAGCAATAACTCAAGACTGGTGCTATACCACGTTCAGAATATATCCACACAAAAGCATTACATATATAGTTCAGTATGTGTTAGAAGATAAAAGGTCGTGCTTACAAACACGATGAAAACATGACCAGCACTCACAGTCAGCCAAAGAAGCAACTTGAAGATAAAGCTCATTCAATTTGGCTTTCTAGGTAGACTTGGGCGTAAGATGTACATCAGCTGTCCATCTGGAAGTATTAGCAAAGGGATGGAAAGTAATTGCCTAGGGCAAAGCTAGGAACAAACTTGGACACCCTGTTTTCTTATTGAGAACGAATCACCAAATTTATTTGATTTGGAGAAAGCAGTAGTGGTTGACTGGGACCTCTTTGGTTTTTCGGTTATCTGGACTTGATGCAACTATGTTTTTCCTGCCCCCTAATCTATGAATATGCCTCTTGTGGTTGGATTTGCTATGTCCTAAGCAGATTAGTTGGGTTATCTTAGCTGTTCCTAAGACACTGGATGTAGCAAAGTTCTCAGCCAGGACAATCACACTAATAACAACAAAAACTTCTTCGATATATTTCATGGATCATTTTTCACTTAATCCATGGAGCCAGTGTTTTTATTTTGTTATTTTATTTTTAAACTTGACTAGAAAATGAAAGAAGCACCACTATGCCTTAGTTAAAAGCTCCCATTATAGGTGTAGCGGGATTCATATGTAGGTCGAAAATTACCTAAGCTAATTGACACTCACATGGAATATTTTGATTGCTTATCATATAAAAGTTTCATGACTCTGCGATTCTTGTCCGTCCCAAGAATTTTGATATAATCTCACTATAAAAGATTTCGCACATAATAGCAAACAACAAAGGTATTTATGCAAATACAGGCTCTAGTTCATTCTTCTAAACACATATACAAGCTATGTTTCCTGTTCCAAATGTTTGTTACAACTTACAAATACATAATAACACTGCATCTGAGTCACACTAACTTGATAAGTTTCATGCACAAAGTAAAACAGCAATCATGAAATGACAGATATCTTTAATTATTTCATAACCAAATACTGTGAAAAGACAGAATAAAAAGAACAGAACTCATATATTTCAATGAGTGCACTTACTCTGCACACGTAAGCTCACGGATTTCTTTGACAGCTCTACTAATACTTTGCAATGCCATTTTCTTCACCTGGTTTTTGCAACAAAAGTAAATCCATAGTCATTACCTGGATAAGGTTGGAGAGGAAATGCGTAAACCTTCATGAGTACTTTACCTCCAGACTGTCTACTTTGGCTTTATGGTTCTCTGGAAGCTGTCGTAACTCATCAATCAACTGAATGCATTCAGTAACATTTTCTGGTGAGAGGAAGTCCAGAACCACGCTAACACATGACTGCAATTTGCATGACACGCCAAATGAACAAAATTAGTAAGCAATATTGCAAATGAAGTTTATGCAGACCCTGAAAATCAGAATCAGAAAATTCACAATAAACCAATTTGAAAATGACAAAATCAAGCATCTTACAAACTCTTTTATCTTCCGTTCTCTTTTTCAGATTCCAAGTAAATGATGTCAGCTTAAAAAATGTGGGAAAATTGGTAAAAGTTTGATGAGAAAGAAACCACTAGGAAATTTTGACTAATACATTTGACTTGTGGTAAAAAGAGCTTTAGATGGATCAGATTACAATGAAAAATTGCCAATAGGGTACGAAAAGATTCAAAGAAAATTGGGGCAATGATTAAACAAGATTTCTGAAAAAATAACTCAATGGTGTTGCACACGTTACCTTAAGATTCCTAATTTGGTATGGGCATCCAGCAGGAACAATCACTGCTTCTCCAACATGTTGCTCAAAACTCCAGGGTTCAATTTCTGGAAGCATCAGGCAAGGTGGAAATTTAAACATAGCTTCAAATTTTTTATCATAAAAAAAGGGGACAAATAGAAGTTTTACTTACTGAACTCCTCCTTCAGTCTCATTTTATGAGATGCATCAAGAAAGAAATTCTGATCAAGTATTGGATGAACTGTCTGCAAGAGAGAGACTATAGTAAGCAATCCATTCTGACCTGCTAATAAAGATTGACATATTATTCAAAACTTACATGCTTTTGAAAGCCGTATGTGTAAGCGAACTCATTTGAGTGCCTTCTAAGGTATTCCATGAGCTTGGGAACATCCTGTCTACGAAAGACATCCCATTGGGCACCACAAGACACAGAGAGTTTTTTCATTCTGAAATGAGGGGAAGCATTTGAGTGCTTCCCATGAAACCTGTCTGATGTCCTTGAGCTTTTAACAGGTCCAAAGAAAAATTTTGAGACTTCAGTATCAGTATCAGTGTCAGAATCAGAATCATATTCCCCATCATGGAACTTGTCTCTATCTTTTAGAGTTGAAGCATGAGTTTTGTGTCTTGCAGCAGAGAACCAAGATACTCTGGCAACTTTCTTGTTTACTTGCATATCTTCTCTGAACATATCATGCAATTCCACTTCAATATTTTCCTCATCTAAAGTTGCTTCTCCGTTCTCTTTATTCTGTTCCTTGTGCTTTGTCATTAACTTTCTTATGTAATTGAGCTGCTTTGTAGATACAGGGACATCGGTAGCATGTGCCAAAATATTAACCTGAAATTACAAAGACAAAATGAATGGTGAAGACCTTCATGTTTTTCATAAACTCTCCACAGAATTAGAAGTCTGCAGAAACCGTTATAAAATATGCTAAATTCTGGGGCGTCAAAGCAAGGGGCTGTGACAGCTAAAGATTCAAGAGGTGCTCAACGAGAAAAAAAGGATACAAGTCAATGCCATGTAGCAATTCCAGAATAAAACCAATTACAGTAATCTTGGTCTTTGCTTGGCTCACCTAACTAGATGATGAGACCAATAATTGATATTACTTCTCAAACTATATATGAGTACAGATTTTGGATTTTTTTTTTGGGAAAAAAGTTATAAATACGCATGAATGAGAAAAGCACGCCATTCTAACATATCACTTGGATGTTCTCACATACACACATTGCTCAGAGCATAAGGAAGAAATCACGGAGATGTTTCATTGCAGATTTGGAAGCATAACAGTTTTCGATGCTTGCTTCTCAAAAAGTAGCATGCTTTGAACAGCAATTCTGTACTGCGCATACGTATTGCAGGTGTTGTGCCAATCAAGAAATAGGAAAAAGAAAATCACAAAGTAATCTGAAATAGAAGCAAAAATCCAAAAAAGATTACACTGCAATATAAGAAAAATAGAACTAGACTTACCACATCGTATGAATTATAACGCAATTTTGTCACAGAATCAGCCTGCGCGGGATTCTCACCACTTCCGTATGAGATATAAAGACAAGGACCCAGATCTGGCTTCAAGGTTTCCTGTGACAAATCTGCAGCAATGTTTAGAACACCAGAAATGGGGTCCATGTATTCTGGAAGTGGTAGAGCCTGAAGGATGTCAGTGTAATGAGCTGGAAAATGTTCTTCGAATAAATGAGAAGAAAGCCAACCCTTCAATTTTAGCTTCTCATGCCATATGTTTCCATTGGCCAGACCCTTAAAAGACCCCATAAACATCTGTTTTATACCAATTTCTACCTGCCATACCAAAGAAAATTGTTGAGAATTAGAGTTAGTTATGAAAAAGGAAAAAAGTTAAAAAGAAACGGTGATAAATGGAAAACACTCTGCAGTTCCCAGAAGCACATAATATATCTAGATGAATGCAGTGCTAAGCTTCTAAGCAGCAAAATCAGTTCCAATTAATTTCATGACGTCCATATAATGTATATGAACATTTTCCCTAAAGACAACATTAGCAGTGTTTCTCTCCCAGTCAAATCAAGAGTATGAACACTGACCTTTTCCAACTTGATAAAGAAAATGTCCTGAAGGAGGATAAAGCAGAAAATAAGGGTGTAATACCCCCAAAAGTTTGGATGCTAAATTATGCTGGTTCAGAGAAGTTAGCAGCCAAATCAAGAAAAAAGCTAAGATACTCTGAGAAATATCTTCAATTATCTAGCATCCTCTACAAATCTTTCAAGGCTAGAAGCTACATTTATGAAGGTCCTCCAAAGCGTCAAATTTTTTTAATATCAGAGAAATTGGACAAGGTACCTACTAAACACAAATGATGAATTACTGTTTTCAACAAATATCTTGCCAGCACATTTCTATTCCTCTTAAAATTTTACACTTTACAACTCACAAACATATAGCACAAAGATATATTTTCATTTCTGCATGTACATAAACCTTAAACAACCCAAATTCATAATTTAACCATATTTCAATTCTCAATTCCCACACCAGCAAAACCAACATGTAATGACTAAGTAATGCAAACGAGATTACGTCATCTTCTAATAACTCATATGTTCACCAGAAGCAGAATAGAAAGCCCTGCTATTATTTTGAAATATGCAGGTTTCATGGTACAAAATATTGACAATATCTGATAATTGACATTTAAGAAAGAAACATATTAGGCACTTGCATGATCACACTGCATATTGACACATCACATAGCTGAGCAAAACACTAACCTCAAACCAGTCCAAGCAATCTTTAGCTTGCTCATTTTGAGATCTGGCAGCAATATTCTTAAGATAATTGCAGAAAATGACTATTGGATCCCAACTCAGATCAGATGTACTCTGAAGCACATTACGAACAATTATAGGTTGACCTCTGCCCCAGTGCTTCTGAAAGTGTTCAAGGTTATCACTGCGAATATCCATAATGGCAGGATAATATAAAAGGTTATCGCTAGAGTCTTCTCTTGCAGCTGCTTCTTGCAACTGCACAATCCCATTAGTTTCACAATCCATCCCAACACATAATGAACAACATGAGTGAACATCCAAGGTTTCTGGCAACTCATAGCAGCCAACTAATTCTTCGGCACTTACTTCCAGCTCTTTGGTCCAACTTAAGGGGAAAATGCAACTTAAGTCAAGTAGGTTACTGCCACAACCACCAAACTCTCTAGGGGGCAGGGTATACCGCCATTACGATCCACAGCACTCCGACACGGTGATAATGTAGAGCCACGATATCTGCTGCCATAACTCAGCTTTGTGGCATAAAGTGATTTCATTTCTGAAAGTTGTTTGCCAGATATACAAGCTTTCCTTCCATTTGGGCATTTGCATAAAAGAGCTTTAACACTTCCATGTAAGCTCCCATGAAAAATATCCCAACAACAACTTAAGCAAAGGCTATAGGAACAACCAGGGCAGCTCCTATGGAAATTCACTATGGAAGTCTTGCAGTTATCACTGCTCCGAAAGTCAAATCATGCACCATAGAGCAACAAAACAAATTTAAATCAGCTATGTTAAATAGTAGTAAATCATCACAACCTTTTCAGAGTCAGATTGTATACCAACAGCATTGCTTAGTGCAGCTGACTTCTGCCTGCTGGATGTGAACTTCAGAAGGCTTCTGACCTATTACAGACTGAAGGACATTAGAAATGACATCTATGGGCATTCTAAAATAAGCTATCAAAAGCGAAATTTAATTGCAGAAGATCACGAAGCAAAACGACGATGACTACCTTTTATTTTTGCTTCTATTTCTAACTCAATGCTCTGATCTTGATTTATATGTTTCAGTATAGGAAGAAGCATACAGATCAAATAATGAAAATGTAAAACCTTGTCGACTTTACTTTTCTCCTTGGACAAGTCCTGAAACATAGTTTTTGCAAATATTTAGAGACACCATGATTCAGCAAGAAATATGAAAGCACTGTTTGCTTAGCAAAAGTAGAAGTCAGACCTTACATTCAATGTCCCTACATTGAATTGCTGAGCAGGCCTTACAGCTGCAAGTTCCACGACACACTGGACATTCCATCCTAACTTCTTCTTGTGTCTCTAAATACCTAAATTCATTTCAAAATCAAGAATCACAGCTCAGATTTTACTCTTAAAGACATAACATCAAGCTGAAATCACAAATCAAATGTGATTATAGTTACTGTTTTGAGCACAAGTCAAAGCGATATCTAGAAAACAGTTGGTCTACAGGACAATTATTACTAAACAATCCACATATTATAATGACTGCTTGTTCTATACAGAAATGACAACTTTTAGTACAAATGCTCCAAAAGGGCACAACAAATTAAGATGGAGAAAACAACATACTGCTCTTTGATGCAATCCAAGCAATAAAACTGTTTTCGACAACTCGAACACCTAATCAATGTCCTCAATCCACTTCTCCTACACCAATGGCATTTCTTCCTCTTCCCCTTTCTCAATCTCACTGCATCCCTCTTATATGGCAAAACCTACACAAACCAATCAATCAAAAACTCATATACAAAAAATTTCAAAACACAGCTCAATTAGCAACCAAACAACAAAACCAACCTGTAATTTCCCAATTGGCATTGGCTCAATATTTTTAGACCTAAAACACCTAGCAGCACTGATCCCATTAGGAACATCCCTTCCAATCTTAATATCGCAATGTGAACTAGAACAAGAACCTACATTGCCATTCCCAAAATTCTTAGCAGGTGATATTGCCATGAACCCATTTGGCAAATCTCTCATTAACTCTTCCCCTTCTCCTTCTTCTTCACTCTCACTACCACTACAATCATTCACATTATCGTTATCATCACCATTATTAAGACTCTCTTTCTCTAAAACCCCTTTCTTTTTCTTATTCTTTCTCTTCTCCACTTCTTTCTGTAAAACCATCCTTATTAAATCCAACTGTAAATCTCCCCCTTCAATTTCTTTCCTTTCTTCTTAAATTTCCCCAATTTCCCCTGCTTTGAAGAAACCCTAATTAGGGTTTCAAAATTAGAACTTGATGCTAGTGATTTCTTGCTCTTCTTTCTCTGCAATTTCAAAGTCTCTGGCACTTTCCTCCTATACTGCCTATGGCGGCCCTGAAGGTGATGAATTTCACAGAGCTTCTTATCCTCCATAACCCGCCGGTTGCACCGCCATTGCCGGCCGTCTGTCCTCTTGCACCGGAGGTGGTCCGGTAGTGGCTCCATTAAAAGAGAAAGTTTGGAAATTTTCCGGGAAAATCCTAATTTCTCAGGAAAGTGACAGAAAGTCGGGATTTTTATTAGATAGAGTGAAGTGAGGAAGTAAGACTGAGAAGGGGTTTTTTTTATTGTGGGGCGTGGGAGTGGCAAGTGGTGTAATTATAAGGAAAGTAGAGGAAATTTTGGAGATTAAAAAAAAGGAAATCTTGAATTATGGTCACGAGAAAGAGAGAGAGATTGTTAAGTAATGGACTCTGATAAATAGGTGTTATCTTTTGAACTGATTGTATTAATGTAAAAGAATCTTTTCAAGATTTTGCTTTTTTGGTTTTTTTGCCCTTTTTTTTGACACTTGACAACATAGATATCTGCAGTGACTTTCTGTTTCTGTACTTCTGTTTCTGTTTCTGCTTTTATAGTAATTTTTCTCTATTTGTTTTGCATGAAATTTTGGTTCATGGGATCTGATTTTAGTCTGTCTGTTTTTGTATGTTTTGTGTTTGATGTAAGAATGGAGAGTTGTTGATGTTTCAGAATTTAACAATTTCAGGATTCAGGTTTCTGTTGGATTTTTTAATCTTAGTTTAAGCTCTTCATTTTAGATTTTTCAGAATTTGGCAATTTCAGGATGGTTGGTTGTGTTCAGGTTTTTTGAATTATTTATTAAGTTAGCATATACAGGTTTTATATGATTGCTGCAGCTTTGGCACTTTAGAAATTTTGCTGCTTTTTTCGATTTTATAGCAGAAGTGATAAATAAATGAGACTAAGACTATTCCTTTTTTAATTATCAGAAAAATGTAAATAGTTTTCTTTCTATTTTTGCTTGCCTACCAAGTTTTCGACGATTTTGGAACTTTATTTATTCTCCTATATGTGGTCTATTCTTGGTTGAGTTAAAGGGCTATAAATGTGGGCTAAGGATCTGCATATTTGTTTTGCTATTTTCTGCATTAATTTCACTGACTATTTTGAACAAGTTATCCAGTCCAAGTGTAGGGTCTTAATAACATTCTATTGGGTAAAAGCCAACTTGAGTGCAAAAAAACCAATTGTGCATGCATGATTTGGTGGCAGTTCTGAGATTGATGTTACTCGTAAATTAAAATGAACCCTCCACAAAATTTATGGTTTAAAAGAAGTAAATGCAGTTTTCAGCTGAACTCTTCCTGCATAACCTAGTTTTTGGCAAATAAACTAGTTCCATTTCATGTAAAATGGGCTTTACCAAATTGTAATAACCAAACGGATCTTTAGATGTGTCTTGACCAGTTTTCGTGGATGTAGACTAATTTCTGACCTGCCATTGCATTTTGTAACTGGTGGAGAGGAGTAGCGAATGGTAGCTGTTTGGTGTACCAACAGATCATGTGGTGGCATGAAGTGGTTCATTGCTGCCTATGCCATGCTTGTGAAAGCTTATCCTTCCAGGTCTCGAAAAACAGAACTAAAAATATTTAGAGATTTGACTTGTCTGGTACCATGGGGCCCTTTGGATATCTGATTCCAATGTCTCATGATGCTTTTAAGTTTCGAACAATAAATAGGACAATAGGAGTAGGTATAGCATAGAGAGTGGTTCTTTTTTGAAAATCAAAAAATGTTGCCATTTTTGCAGCTTCTTCAAAACTTTTAAATGGAAAGTAATGAAAAAAAAAAAAAACGTTCTGTCTGGTTTATGTTTTTTTTAATGATCAGTATGTATGGCAGAAGTACATGATCAGTGCTGGAAAATAAGCCTGAAATTGCCTTTGTGGGCTCATCAGATCCTTTGCAATGTCGAAGGCAGCTGGCAGGGAGGCTTGCTTTAACGTTAAAGACTCCTGGAATTGATCTATGCGTTCATTAGAAGAATATTTTTTTTTTTCCTGAAAATGTTTAAGAAAGACAAACTTCGAATTAGTTATCCACCAACTATGAATTTATTCTCAATGTAGTCCCCAAATTATCAATTTTATCAATTGGGTATTAAAAGGATCTTACATTTCTTAATTTGGTCTTCCATATTTTGATGAAAAACGTTCAAATTTCCTTATAACAACACTTTTTTATTGCTTAATATATGAAGTTCAGACAAAAAACATTAACAGATAAATATGGGGGACTTACTTGAGGAATGTCTAAATATCAGAAGACTCAATTGAGAAAATTGATAGGTTGGGGACCTAGATGAGAATCAGTAAATAGTTGGGCCTTTTTCCCTGTAAACGAGGCAGTAAAATCATTCTCAAAACGCTACAAAAATAACCTGAATTTGTTTTTGTAAGCCTAAAAATAGCATATCAGTCACAAACGAGGAATCCAATCTTGTTCAAAAATAAAGAAAAGGGATCTCCTTTACCAGGATATACCTTTCTACATATATAGAAAGGAATTGAAACAAAGTTTGTCGTATATACTAAGGACAGCAGAATCAGCTAGCATAGAGTGAGGATCCTAGCCCATCATGCAAATCACACAGTGCCCACAGTTGATCAAACGTAAGTGTGTTTTTTTCCCCCACAACTAGGATCTGTCCTTCAAATTCCCACAAAGTTTCTTCAGACAATCTCTTGATGCAGACAAAACCATGCCCGGAAGATTGAAAAACATGATTGAATGCAGCGCTGGTGAAATGATTCCACACCGTCATGTCATGCACCATGAAGGGTTGGTAACGAAACCAAAAAAACAAACTGTAGAATTTCATCAACGCTGCACTCAATGATGTTTCTCCCACCCGAGAAGCCACCATAACTTACTTTCAGTTGCGATAGATATGGAAATCTTGATGTACCTGTCTAAATAGGAAAACTAAGCGCTGACAATGTAGTACAGTTACACATGTTTGTTTGTACTACAAAGTTTTGATCCTACATTGGTGGTCTCATGTTGGCTGCTAGGGGCATAGTTTCAGATAGAGTATTTAATATAACCATGGTTATTTAAGGGATTCCACATGCTAGTTGCTGTGACATATGGTAATATAACCACGTTTCATATAAATAATGACATCATACACTGATCTTATTATATAAGGCTGTAAATTCTCCCAGTATCAGCCATTATATATTAAAAAAAATATTTTTTTGTATTTTATTGTTGTTTGTATGATATTAAACTATTAATAATTGTTTTAATAATAAATTCAACTATTAAATATATATTATGCTTAATTTATAAATTTTTTTAAAATATGTTAATAATAAGTGATAATTTATTAATATATTCAAAATATCGATTATTGTAATTGTTATTTTATTAATACAACAGGAAAGTGCAATTGCAAATACTTTTACATCTAACTATGCTATTTAAAGCTATGAACTTACTAATAAAAATATTGGTAAGATAAGAGGATATCCAATCTCATGTGTACTACTGCTTTATTTGTACTGGAATCGTGTACTACATTGGCCACCTATCAACCTCCACGTGGTTGAGAAATGTTTTTGGTCTACCAAGATTTGCCTATTTGGTCTTTTTATGTGGCGTAATATTGGAATTTTCATGCTATAACTCCTGGATGTTGATCTCTTGATCGGCATGCCAGAAGTTAGCTGCCTAATTTTCTAATGATGCTTTCATTTTTCTAAGTCAACTAATTTCCATATCATAATAATGGAATTTCTCAATTTTATATTAAGAAGAACCTATACTATTATATCTAAAATAAATGATGACATTTGTGTAAAAACCTTACTTAAGCATTTTATAATACCAATCTTTTTTTTTGAAGGAAACGTTCTCTTTCTTTGGAATTGTTCGAGGGCAAAGTACTTTTCTGCTGAAACTGGCATTAAGAAGACAGGCCATCAGTACCATAGGTCCCATGGGTGTGCCAATTTCGGCTGAAGTTTATGGTTCTTAGAAGAAAATGAACAATTCATGTCATTTCATTTTATTGAGTTATTGATTGAATATGGAGTGCCATATTTACAAGAAACTGTAATGAAATGTATATATGTTCAACTATTGAAATTTCCAAATGAGCTATTTTCCATCTGGAAAAAGAAGAAGAAGAAGCCACTCTTGAGAATGCCTGTCCAGTGCAAAGAATTACACATATTAAATAATATCTAGAATCTGCTTATCTTTTTCGGAAAATAATCGTACCCTTTGCATCTTCTTGTATAATTCGCAAAATGTCATCAGGAGGAATGTGCCTCCAAATTTTAGGCTTCTGCAACTGATGGCCCATCCGTGCCAACTTATCAGCAGCTCTGTTGCCTTCCCTAAAAACATGAGTCACAATGCAAGTTTTAAGCTCTGGCATGATCAAGTTTATGTTGCTAACTTGTCTTTGAGCTTCCTTGCATCGAACCTGTTTCGTTTTTAAAATAATATCAACTAATGACTTGGAATCTCCTTCGAGCCATACGTTGCTCCAACCATTTTCTAACACCAACTCAAGGCCTCTTCGAAGCGCAGCTAATTCGGCGACGGTGCTAGTAGTTCTCCCTATGGATTCAGCATAACCGAGTAAGAATTCAGCCTCATGGTTCCTGAAGACACCTCCAATGCTGGCTTTGCCCGCGGTGCCTTTGCAAGAACCATCGAAGTTTAATTTGGTCCAACCTATCTTAGGTTTCTCCCATGACACCGGAATCGGACCCCTGTGCAAATTCCTGATGAAACTCCGAACTGGGCTTTCTGATATTCCTCTTTGGCACCTCAAAATGTTAGTAAATGACAACATTGTTCATAACTAGAAAGAATTTA